GGGTATATATACACTCTGTTAGCCATGTTTTTCCCACATTTGTACTTTCACTCACTTACATGATTTAGAGCTTTTGGAAGGTGTTTTGTGCATTGTAGGTGAAAAGATCACAAAATCAACTAAGTATGGAGCAAAAATGGACGAAACTTGCAAAGCCAAGCCCAAGGCAAAGTGCTGGAGCTCGCCTCGCGAGGTGGAAAGCGAATAGGGGTAAAAAATAAGCCCCCGCTGAAGTTTACACCCTGCACAAGGCAAGGGAAAGGCGAGACAGAAAGTCTCAGGATGCAAGAGGCGAAGTGGACTACTTCACGATAATCCAGACCTGGCCAATTTTTGACCTTCTCCTAGTCCGACTTGGTGGGTGTTGAAATCTGCCTCATGAGCTGTTAATTGATGTTGAGTTGGCATAATGACATGGCTGCTGATGTGTTTTCTGTTTTCAGAAGATAGATATTTTCTGATTTAGTCTTTCAGTTGTGAATTTCCTAGTTGTTAGGCATGTAGAGTTGTTGGTAGACTTAGTGCCTAGTTAATAGGAAGATTCTGTTTTTCAGTTACTGCATTATTTATTGCAGACTGTTAGGAGTTCCTTCAATTTAAATATTTCTTCTTTCAGCTTAATAAAATATCTCTTTTTCTTCTTCTGTCGTATGTTTTTCTTTAGCTGTTAACACCAACAAATTGGTATCAGAGCCCTCTTCTTAAGGGACTTGTGAGTGTAGTCTGAGTGAACCATCAACAAAGTCCCTACCTGTTGCCCTGAAAAGCCATCAGAACACATGGATTCAGAACACTCTTCTGATTCTTATGCTATTTCTCCACCGGTGTTTGATGGAGAGAACTACCAGGTATGGGCTATCAAGATGCAAACTCACATGGAGGCATGTGATCTCTCGGAAGCAGTAGAGGAGGATTACGAAATTCCTGTTTTACCAAGCAATCCAACAATGGCGCAGATCAAACTTCACAAGGAAAGGAAGACAAGAAAATCCAAGGCGAAATCTTGCTTATATGCTGCACTTTCACCTACAATTTTTTCTAGAATCATGACGTTGGAATCGGCAAAAGCAATCTGGGATTTTCTAAAAGAAGAATACCAAGGAGATGAGCGAATCAAAGGTATGAAAGTTATGAATCTCATTAGAGAATTTGAGATACAAAGAATGAAAGATTTTGAAACTGTCAAAGAATACTCAGATAGGCTTCTTAGCATTGTGATCAAAGTAAGAATGTTGGGCAATAAGCTTCCTGATAGCAGAGTTATTGAGAAACTTCTTGTTACATTACCTGAGAAGTTTGAACCAACCATTGCTTCCTTAGAAAATACTAAGGATCTGTCAAAGATCACTTTGGCAGAATTACTAAATGCATTGCAGGCACAAGAGCAAAGAAGGTTAATGAGACAGGAAGGGTCGGTAGAAGGTGCACTTCAGGCCAAGTTGCAAAACTATCCTGGAAACAAATAGAAGAAAATCAAAGGGAAGAAGAATTATGCTGAAAATAATCAGGTTTCCGCTGGTAATGGAAGTAGCCACAATTCAGGCAGCAACAGAGGAGAAAAATTCCCTCTGTGTCAATATTGTGGAAGGAAGAATCATCCTCACTTCAAATGCTGGAGAAAGCCGGATATGCGATGACGAAAATGTCAAAAACTTGGGCATGCTGAGATCATCTGCAAGGAAAAAGGACAGCAGCAACAAGGAGAAGCTCAAGTTGCAAATCAACACGAGGAAGAACAACTATTTGTTGCATCATGTTTTGCATCTAGTATTTCAAGTGACAGTTGGCTTATTGATAGTGGTTGTACAAACCACATGACTAGTGATGAAAAGCTTTTCAAAGGCTTGATAGAACAACAACATCAAGAGTCAGGATTCGAAATGGAGAATACCTCCCTGCAAAAGGAAAGGGGACTGCGGCTATTGAGAGTTATACAGGTACAAAACTTGTTTCTGAAGTTTTGTTTGTTCCTGAACTTGATCAGAATTTATTAAGTGTTGGACAGCTACTTGAAAATGGGTTCAAATATTTTTTTGAAGATAAGGCGTGTCTGATCATTGATCCAAGTGGTCAGGAACTATTTAGAATTAAAATGCAGGGTAAAAGCTTTTCTTTGAATCCAATGGAGGAAGAACAAATAGCTTTTCCAAGTCAGTCCAGTGTTGCAGAAACTTGGCACAAACGGTTGGGTCACTTCCATCACAGGGAGCTTTTGTATATGCAGAAAAAAGGGTTGGCAAAAGGTTTACCTCCACTTGAAGAGGAACTCCCAAGTTGCAAGGCATGCCAATTTGGTAACCAGACAAGATTGCCATTCCCAAAATCAACTTGGAGAGCGACTCAAAAATTGCAGCTGATTCATACAGATCTTGGAGGCCCCCAAAGAACTCCATCATTGAAAGGAAGCAGGTATTACATAATATTTATTGATGATCTAACAAGGATGTGTTGGATATACTTCTTAAGATTCAAATCGGAGGTTGCTGAATTTTTTTGGAAATACAAAGCCTTGGTAGAAAATCAAAGCGGCTGCAAACTGCAAGTGCTCAGATCAGATAATGGGACTGAGTACACTTCAGATCAGTTCAAAAACTTTTGTGAAGTTGCTGGAATAGAGCATCAACTTACTACTCCATATACTCCCCAGCAAAATGGAGTAAGTGAAAGGAAGAATAGGACCATCATGGAGATGTCAAGGTGTATGTTGCACGAGAAAGAGCTTCCCAAAAAGTTTTGGGCAGAGGCAGCCAATACTGCTGTATTTTTGTTGAATAGGCTGCCTACAAAGGCAGTGAATGGTCAAACACCTTTTGAAGCTTGGCATGGGTACAAACCTTTACTAAAGAATCTCAAGATTTTTGGTTGCTTATGTTTTTCTCACATACCTCAGCCGAAAAGGGATAAACTTGACAAGAAGGCAGAACCTGGAAAAAATTTCCAACCACAAACTGGAAAAATTTTGGTAAGCAAAGATGTGGAATTTGTAGAACAAAAGCAATGGGATTGGGATGGAGAAAAGCAAGAAAGAGAAGCTAATGAGTTGCACAATTTTGAGGAACGAGTAGATCATCCTCCCATTCGAGGAACCAGATCACTCGCAGATATCTATCAAAGATGCAATGTAGCTGTATTTGAACCTGCTAAATATGCAGAAGCTGAAAGAGACAAGAAATGGATAGTCGCAATGCAGGAGGAGCTAACCAAGATCGAGAAAAATGACACATGGAAGCTGGTAGAAAGGCCTCCAGACAGAAAGGTTATTGGTGTTAAATGGGTTTACAGAACTAAGCTAAATGCAGATGGTTCGGTGAACAAACACAAAGCTAGGCTTGTGGTGAAGGGTTATGCTCAGATTTTTGGTGTAGATTTTTCTGAACATTTGCACCAGTCGCAAGACTTGACACAATCAGGCTTCTTTTGGCAATTGCAGCACAAAAGGGTTGGAAAATCTACCAATTGGATGTTAAATCAGCCTTTTTGAATGTTGAGCAGCCTGAAGGATTTGTTGCAGAAGGACAGGAAGACAAAGTCTACTTGCTGAAAAAGGCCTTCTATGGATTAAAACAAGCTCCAAGGGCTTGGTACAGTAGAATCAATGATCATCTTTTTGACTTAGGTTTTCAGAAAAGCCCAAGTGAATCAACTCTTTACATAAAGCATGTTAACTCTGACATTATTATAATTTCTTTGTATGTTGATGATCTTTTAGTAACAGGGAGTAATGTTGTGCTCATAGAAGAGTTGAAAAAGGAGATGATGAAAGTCTTTGAAATGACGGATCTCGGAGAGATGGCTTTCTTTCTTGGAATGGAGGTTAAACAAATCCAAGATCAAATATTCATTTGTCAGAAGAAGTATGCAAAAGAAATTCTGAGGAAATTTAGAATGGACGATTGCAAAAGTATAAGTACGCCTATGAATCAAAAGGAGAAGTTAATGAAGGACGATGGTGCTGAACGAGTACAAGAAGGAAGCTACAGAAGCTTGATAGGATGTATCTTACAGCAACAAGGCCAGATATATTGTATGATGTAAGTGTCTATCCCGATTCTTGAATTCTCCTAGTGAATTGCATATGCAAGCTGCAAAAAGAGTACTCAGATATGTCAAAAGGCACAATGGACTATGGAGTCAAATTTAGCAAATGCCAGAATTTTAAACTTCAAGGATTTTCTGACAGTGATTGGGGTGGTTCTGCTGAAGATATGAGAAGTACTTCAGGGTACTGTTTTATTTTTGGCGCTGGATGCTTTTCTTGGTGTTCGAAAAAACAAGAGATTGTTGCTCAATCAACTGCAGAGGCAGAATTCATTGCTGCTACAGCTGCGGTCAATCAAGCTTTATGGATAAAGAAAATCTTTTGCGATCTTGGGTTGGAGATGAAGGAAAGCACTGAGATATTTGTGGACAACCAAGCTGCCATTGTTATTTCTCACAATCCAGTTGTTCATAGAAAGACCAAGCATTTCAATGTGAAGCTATATTTTCTTAGAGAAGTGCAAGAGGATGGTTTAGTGAATCTGGTATATTGCAGAACGGAAGAGCAGCTGGCTGATATTTTTACAAATGCTCTTCCGGCAAGCAAATTTGAGTTCTTGAGAAAGGAACTTGGAATTTGCAGCTCTTAATGAAAGGAAGAGCTCTCATGTTGGACTCATCAAAGTCATCAGTATATAATTCAGCCATTCTCATTATCTTCTTTATGTCAAAACTAGAAAAAAAATCAATTGGATTCAAGCAAGATACTCCATTAAGCAAATCACTTCATTGAAACGGTCATTAAGTTGTAGCTGCCAATCAATGATTTTATAAAACACATCCACATGATAATGGTGCAAAGTAGTACAAATAACTACTTTACGTCGTGATCTCCCAAAAATAGCATATGGATCATCAAATTGGGTAATGAAATGTCATGCTTGATACAAAATGCTTCTACCTTTTCTTTAAGTGAATCTCATCCAATATTATTCTTAAGCGAGGATTTCATTCATTATCTCTTAAAGCTTGCAACCTCTCTTTGCTACCTTTACAAGAATCGTGGCATTTGCAATATCTTGCTCCTTTTTCTGTAATGAAACATTAAGATCATTTGTGATTCCTAAAAGATCAGTCATCAAATGCAACAAGAAAATAGTCTCAAACGTTTGACAACTTCTGAGAAATCCCGATGCGCTTGCTCTTTCTTCCAAAGTACTTGCATTTACAACAAGAGGATCAAGTACATCGACAATAGAGTCAAACCTACTAATAAAGTTTCCAAATGACTTGTAATGAGATCCCCAACGAGTATCACCGGCTTTAACAAGGCCAAGTTCTTGATTCAACCCTCTACCTGTTTATAGTTCACCCATATCCAATGCCATTCGAAGATACTTTTTTTGAGATTCTTGAAATTATCCACACGTTTAAAAGAAGCTCCCAACACATTCAAAATATTTGAAATTAATAATACAAGTTCACCAACTTGAACACACTTTTTAGAAATCGCAACAAGAGTCAATTAAAGTTGATGAGCAAAACAATGAACATAATGAGCCGATCTCCTTTTTTGTCTAATCAACGTTTTAAGACCTCCTAGCTCACCTTGCATATTGCTTGTCCCATCGTAACATTGCTCACGTACATTAGATAAAGTCAAAGAATGGTGAGCAAGTAGATCTACAATTGCTTCCTTTAGAGATAAAGCACTAGTATCTTTAATATGAACAAGTCCAATAAATGCCTCCATCACAAACCCCCTTTTGTCAACATATCTTAGACAAATAGTCATTTGCTCTTTGCGTGACAAATCTCTAGATTCATCAACCAATAAAGCAAAGTAGTCACTATTTATATCCTCTATTATAGCCTTAACTGTTTCAATCTTACACGCAGTCACAATATCTTTTTGGATGTCATGAGAAGTCATTTTATTATTATTTGGAGCTTTTTCTAACTCAAAAGGTTTAATTGCATCACATCTAGCAGCATACCAAGAAAGAACTTCAAGAAAATTACCCTTGTTCAATGACGATTCACTCTCGTCATGACCACGAAACGCAAAACCTTGATTCAAGAGAAGTCTTACCACATCGATTGAAGTGTTTAATCGAACCCGATATTCATGCATACTTTTATCATCCAACTATTAAAATGCGGCTTGAATGGATTGTTGTCCTCGCATGAGATCTTCACACTTTCTTTTGGATTGATTATGAACGCTATTCGGTGGACCAATATGTGTAGCAAAGCTATCCTTTCTATGCCAATTTGTAAATCCCTTAGTCGAAAATACATTACCACCACCTTGATTAATGTTTTCTCCTTGAAATAAATAACAATGTAAACAATAAGCAACATCCACACTAATACTGTATTCCAACCAATCACGATATTCATCAAACCACATATAAACAAAACGACGTGGTGTTCCAAAAAAAATCAGTTTGAGGAAACTGATGAGTTCGAGTATATATCCAAAAATATTTATATTTAGTATATATACTGGCAAAATTTTTCCAATTAGTGCGAATGCTGCTTATTGTTTACCTTGTTATTTATCTCAAGGAGAAAACATTAATCAAGGGGGTGGTAACGTATTTTCGACTAAGGGATTTACAAATTGGCATAGAAAGGATAGCTTTGCTACACATATTGGTCCACCGAATAGCGTTCATAATCAATCCAAAATAGTGTGAAGATCTCATGCGAGAACAACAATCCATTCAAGCCGCATTTTAATAGTTGGATGATAAAAGTAAGCATGAATATCGGGTTCACTTAAACAATTCAATCGATGTGGTAAGACTTCTCTTGAATCAAGGTTTTGCGTTTCGTGGTCATGACGAGAGTGAATCGTTATTGAACAAGGGTAATTTTCTTGAAGTTCTTTCTTGGTATGCTGCTAGATGTGATGCAATTAAACCTTTTGAGTTAGAAAAAGCTCCAAATAATAATAAAATGACTTCTCATGACATCCAAAAAGATATTGTGACTGCGTGTAAGATTGAAACAGTTAAGGCTATAATAGAGGATATAAATAGTGACTACTTTGCTTTATTGGTTGATGAATCTAGAGATTTGTCACGCAAAGAGCAAATGACTATTTGTCTAAGATATGTTGACAAAAGGGGGTTTGTGATGGAGACATTTATTGAACTTATTCATATTAAAGATACTAGTGTTTTATCTCTAAAGGAAGCAATTGTAGATCTACTTGCTCACCATTCTTTGACTTTATCTAATGTACGTGAGCAATGTTACGATGGGACAAGCAATATGCAAGGTGAGCTAGGAGGTCTTAAAACGTTGATTAGACAAAAAAGGAGATCGGCTCATTATGTTCATTGTTTTGCTCATCAACTTTAATTGACTCTTGTTGCGATTTCTAAAAAGTGTGTTCAAGTTGGTGAACTTGTATTATTAATTTCAAATATTTTGAATGTGTTGGGAGCTTCTTTTAAACGTGTGGATAATTTCAAGAATCTCAAAAAAAGTATCTTCGAATGGCATTGGATATGGGTGAACTATAAACAGGTAGAGGGTTGAATCAAGAACTTGGCCTTGTTAAAGCCGGTGATACTCGTTGGGGATCTCATTACAAGTCATTTGGAAACTTTATTAGTAGTTTTGACTCTATTGTCAATGTACTTGATACTCTTGTTGTAAATGCAAGTACTTTGGAAGAAAGAGCAAGCGCATCGGGATTTCTCAGAAGTTGTCAAATGTTTGAGACTATTTTCTTGTTGCATTTGATGACTGATCTTTTAGGAATCACAAATGATCTTAATGTTTCATTACAGAAAAAGGAGCAAGATATTGCAAATGCCATGATTCTTGTAAAGGTAGCAAAGAGAAGGTTGCAAACTCTAAGAGATAATGAATGAGATCCTCTCTTAAAAAAAATATTGGATGGGATGCACTTAAAGAAAAGATAGAAGCATTTTGTATCAAGCATGGCATTTCATTATCCAATTTTGATAATCCATATGCTAATTCTGGGAGATCACGACGTAAAGTAGTTATTTGTACTACTTTGCACCATTATCGTGTGGATGTGTTTTACAAAATCATTGATTGGCAGCTACAAGAACTTAATGACCGTTTCAATGAAGTGATTTGCTTAATGGTGTATCTTGCTTGAATCCAATTGATTCATTTTCTAGTTTTGACATAAAGAAGATAATGAGAATGGCAGAATTATATACTGATGACTTTGATGAGTCCAACATGAGAGCTCTTGAGAATCAACTTGTTTACTACATTATTGATGTTCGTGATATTGATGAAAGGTTCTCCAATTTGGGTGGACTTGGGGAACTTTCAAGAAAGTTGGCTGAGACAAAGAAGCATTTAAACTATTCTCTCGTATTTCTTTTAGTGAAGTTTGCTTTGCTTCTACCTGTTGCCACTGCTACAATTGAAAGAGCTTTTTCGGCAATGAATATTATCAAGAATGACTTGCGAAATCAAATGGATGATGAATTCTTAGATGGTTGCACAGTGCCTTATGTAGAGGAAAAAATATTTAAAGATGCTTCTAATGAGTGTATTATGAGAACATTTCAAGAGATGAAGTGTCATTGCGTGCAATTGTGATTACCACTTTACATATTTTGGTGTGTATGAAACTATCCGTCAATATATTTGTCCTACTTCATCTTTGTTAGTTTATCCGTTGATATTTTGCAAGTTTCCATTTTAAGAATTTTCATTTTGGATAGTTGGTTAATTTGATATTGAACAGGTAAAGAGTAGGAACAACTTGGAGCACTATGTAGAAATCAATAATTGAGGTATGATTATTTTGTAGCCAATCTTTATAATCTGACCAGCAAGGTTTATTTTTTTACTTGTTCTAAAGTATGAACACCCTTGACGAAAATCCTGGCTCCGCCACTAATTTAAACAGGTAAACAAGTGAATCTCTGCATGGTCCTATTAGATTACAGGAGAGCACATCTATGGTACAATAGCCAAGATAACTAGAGTTAAGAGCACTTGGAGTTACACCGAATAATTTAGATTTCTAAATAAAGTATGTCTTCCACTCACTAATGCCTTCTTAGTCAGAAGGAACTGAAAGTGTAATGAGTAGCAAAACTGCTAATTTTTTCACTATTCCAGTGTATACTACAGTGGGAAGGAGAAGCCAATGAGAGGAACCAAGAGACTGATTACTTCTTTCATAGGCATATTTCTTAAGAACTAGATAGGGTCAGCACTTCCAGATCTTTCAATGCAGTAAACAATGAAAGCTAATTGAAGTGGTTAAAACCTATGCTCACCAATCATTTAGATTCTTTAAAGGCTATCCCACGAACCATTATACTAGGAGTTAAAAAGGTAAATAACTATCCACTTGTAGAGACTGCTTCCTTTTAGAAGCAGTATCTTTCAAAGTTGAACCTTGGACGCAGATGTCATTTCAGCTACCGCTTCATAGAATCTCAGATTTTCCAAGCTTTTCACATGATTGAGAAAAGGTAACAAAGGAGGAGAAATTGGTATAGGAAGCGTGGATAGACCTACTAAAACTTCTTCTTTAGTTGTCAGCAACCTGTTTTAAGTTCCACAGCATAAAAGACATCAATACTATGGTATCTAAACTAGATCATAATGGTGGCTGAAGATGTGTGACATGCTGGTTACAGGGATTCGTTCTATTGGTGACCAGTATCTCACCTGGAACTTGCGACCCAGGGTAAGAAAAGAGGTACGTCCAAATTCTACAAAAAATTCTGATATTTATTATCTCGAGAAAGAAAAACAAAAAAGACACTCACCTGTGGTTTCAAGTATGTGCCAATAACATATGCAAGACTATATATTTTCTGATAAAGTTCTTTGCATTCATCAATGTTTCCTGCATAATACAATGGACAAAAAAAGATCTATCAATGAAAGTAAAAGCTAACACAATTTAGTTACAGTATTGTAGAAGGTTCCCAGCAGCATTCGGGTAACAATTAACTAAAAAATCTAATATATTATGATTCATGACATATACATATACCATGGCTGCGCAGTGCGCACACAACTAAATAGACAGCTTCTAACTAAAAACTGAAGTACCAAAAATGAAGTAACAATACAATCAACATTCTTCAAACAGTCAAAAGAAAATATGCATGAACTACTATTTGTGAAGAGCATAAGACAGGAAATATATCTCCTGTACACGTTACAATCACACAACCATACATCTCATTGTTGTTAGGGTTGTTCGCCAGTTTCTCGAGCTCCGTATGAAAATCATTGAAATGCAGTAATTTGCGTTCTTACTTACATCAAAGGTTCACCTAGACATGTCTTCTATGAGGATAGGGGACATACAAATACTATAGGATATTTTGACTCAAATTGGCAGGATTTCATTCAGGACCATCCACCAAGGTTTCGATGGTTTAATTGGAGGAATTATATTTTGGAAAAGCAAAAAGCAAGTTGTAGAAACTAGACAAGCACCAAGGCATAATACCAAGCAATGGCTTTGGCTACATGTAACTAATATGGCTAAGACAAGTTTTTAAAGAGTTAAGGTGGCGAAAAGATGCACCCCTGCAACTGATTGATGACAATCAGGCTGAATATACATTGCTTCAAACCCACTGTTTCATGAGAGAGCGAAATATATACAAGTAGATTGTCATTTTAATTGACAAGAGATTTGAGTCATTTGTGGCAAGTTAGGAGAATACAATATGTACGCCCCAACTTGAGGAAGAAAGTCAAGGAATTAGGAAATTTTTAATATGACAATAGTTACTCATTCCTTGTAAATACGGTAAGCACACAATTTATTCCCGACATCTCCTCTTCTGTATAAAGTTTGACCTAAAAAGGTCTGGATTGTGTCATACAAACTGGTGAGAAGGAATAGAAGTTGTACCTTTCTTTATCATATTATAAGTATTGATCACATCACCGCCAGCACAAAATGCACGGCCCTCCCCCTTTCAGAAATCGGAAAGAAAAAAAAGGATCACTGAATGGCAAGATGAATATATAGAGGGAGAAAAAATTTCAACAAATTACCTTCAATACCACACACCTGGATCATCTTCCCAACTTGAGTAGAGCTGCAATAACCTATATACCTGTATGGAAGAATACCAATTGAGTCATTCACAACAACATTCTCCCTTTAATAAGTCCAAAAAAACGTTGGAAGTGTTTTCAGAGGAATAGAATTTGAATGTAAGAGACTGACAGTGAAATAGTTGAGAGCATTAAGCAAAGAGGGCCTGTTGAGTAAAAGAGTCGTCGTATTAGAACCTTTCCTTTCAACCAACACCTGAAGCAATAGAAAATGAAGAAGAATGTTGGTTTGAGGATCAAAAGGGGGAAGTGTGAAAGAAAGTGAAGGTGCTTACTGGGTCATCAATGGTGGACAGAGTAGTATAACGATTGCATTGAGATATGAAGAGACGGCTGCGCACAGAAGGACGTAAAAGGAAAGACGATTTGAATCTCTGCATTTCTCTGCCGGACGAATTTTGTATAGGTATTCCACGGACGGAGACAACAAGATCTGTCAAATAACAAAAACTTTTTCAGCAATTCTTGTATCTTTCTTTAAATTCATTGTCTAGTAATCTTACCTTGTTGATAATATCAAGCAATCTGTCCGAGATTGTTTCTGACTCTTTCATTCTTTGCAATTTGAACTCCCTCATTAAGGGTCCGTTTGGCCATACGATATGGTATCATGATATGGTATCATGTCATGAAATGAAATTGAAGATTTGTTTGGACATGTGATATGGAATTTTTGTGTTGTATATTTTCTCATAAATTGTAAAACTATTAAAATAACCTCAATTGTTTATTCAATCTTATCAAATAAACAAAAATTATAAAATCGCATAATAAATTATTACAAAGTTATTTATTCTTCACTTAAATAATTGTTTCATCTAACTTTAATTTAATTAAAAAAATTGAACATAAATTGTACTTGATATGCTCATATCTCTCAACTACTCTTACAAATAACCTATAAAGTAGAAAAAAAACATACATTAGTGAGTAAATATTAAGTTAGAAGTTAAATGCACTAAGATAAAAATTAACAAACATCACTAACTTCTAACTATTTACAGGAAAAATCAATAGTTAAATATTATTGAATAACGAAGTTTTAAAAAGTTACCACAAGTTTGAGTCAAAAACACTTCTAATAAAATTTAATCAAAAAAATTATAACTAGTCCACTTGACTAAATATTAATAACTAATTGATCAAATTTTCCCAAGTCTTCAATCAATTGGACTTGATATCCTTTAGTCATGTGAACGAACATTTTGCAAATACTAAGATTAAGAAAGTGCGGCACCGCCAATGAAAATTGTCTTTTATTAATATTATGCTTAGTCATAAGATTAAGACATTTTTTTTTATTATGAAAAATCAAAAAAGTATTACTCCCTTCGTTCTCATTTATATTCACCAAATGAATTTCTACTTTATCATTTATATTCGGGAAAATGCATAAGTACCCCCTCACCCTATGCCCGAAATCCCAGAGACACACCTAACCTTTACTAAGGTCCTATTACCCCCCCCCCCCTACCCGAACTTAATTTATCTATAATATTCTACCCCTTTTCGGCCTACGTGGCACTATCCTTGAAAAAAATGTCAACATGCGTTGGGCCCACCTGATAGTGCCACGTAGGCCAAAAAGGGGTAGAATATTACATATAAAATAAGTTCGGGGGGGTAATAGGACCTTAATAAAGGTTAGATGTGTCTCTGGAATTTCGGGTATAGGCTGGGGGTATTTATGCATTTTCCCTTTATATTCACCAAATTTAAAGTAATAATAAATTTTATATTGGTAAGAATAATAAATTTTAAAAAGTAATGATGTGATTATAATTTTTATTTACATATGAAACAAATGGTTAGTAGATATAAATGTGGGGTTGTTTTAACAAAATATAAACTCATTGATCAATTATTGTATTAAAATATCTCAAATCATGATATGGAATCACATGGTGATTCCATATCATGGTTTTTGGAGAATATGGTATTACCTCTCATGATATGGAATCATGAGATGGAATCAGCATAAAATCGCATGTCCAAACGCTGATTCCATCTCACGACACCATATCGTGATATGGTATCGCATGGCCAAACGCCTACTAAATTTAATACCTTCATTTCTCGTATTCTTTCATCTTCAGCATATTCTTTCTTCAGATAATTCCAAATATTTTTTGGTGATGCGAAAGTCATGATTTTCGTAAAAACAGTTGTCAAAACAGCAGCAAACAAAGTTGATTTTGCCTTCGACTTAATGGTTTTCTTTTCCTTGTGACTCTTGATCTGGGCCACGGTGAGATTATTTGGCAGCGGATTAATTTCATAAAATTTCATAATCCTCTTCCACGGCTTCCCAAAGATCAAGAGCCTCCAAGTAAGTTTCCATTCTCACAGCCCATAGTTGATAATTCTCACCATAAAAAATAAGAGGAGTCATTCGTTAAAAACTATTTTCATAATCCATTTTTCTACTCACAGGTCCCTCAAAAAGAAGGCTCTAATACCAATTGTTGGTTTTTTAATAAAGAAATTAACAGAGAAAG